TCTGCGCTTGCTTCTTCCGCCAATTAATTTTACAAGTAATTTTACAGAAAACGCACAAATTTTTTTTAATTATGATGACATTTTAATTTAATACAATTCTCAATATATTTTACTTGATTTTTATGTTTTGAATATTTCAATCGTCTGTAAATCACACAATCATAATATATTTTGTATCTAGCAATTATATCTTTGTCTTAAAACAACTCTTTAAATAAAACAAGCTTTTTTAAAAAAGACTTCAACGTGTTATTAAAGCAACAGCGTATTTTATTTCTCATATAGTTTCCCACAAGTGTCTTGTTAATATACTCGGTTCTTTCACGGATATTACGGTAAATTGAAATGTATTACAAGATTTAATACAGGGTTTTCTCATGTGAAATTTATCTTATGATATATTAAAAAATGAGAATTTAACGTATAAACTTAGTTTAATCTGTTCGTTAACGGTTCGATAACTAATCGACTCATCAACTTCAAGTAGCTGTTCGTTTTTATCTAAACTTTCAGTTCAAATAACGGGTTTTCCGTGGTCATTCATTCATTAGTGGTCGACATTCATTAAGACTTTTTTTCTCGATCGTTCATGCAATTTAAATTATAAAAATAAATAAAATTTTCCGTAATTTTTAAAAGCCTCCGTTATTATTTCTGTTCTCATTATTTCTTATCCTCATCTTTGGAATGTACTTAGTACTTAATAGTTTATAATAATTTTTTAATAAAACTTCCAAGATTTTAAAACTACATATATTCTTTAAAAGTTTGCTTTCATCAAACTTTCAATATAACTTTATAATAATACGTTTGTTTTTGGTTTGTTATTGGATCGTTTTGTCTGTTTCTTTACATATACATGTATGAAAAGCGAATGTTTAGAATAAACATTAAAAACAATTGATTTTCTTCCGCTATGCTATAAGAAAAAAGTAAATTTTGACCGTGATAGAAAATATAGTAATGCGCATAATGTTCTGTATTTATATTTTTTTTATATATTAAAATTACTTTTAATTATTCTAAAGTGTCTTCATTCTTCATTTTCTATTTTTGTAAATATTAAAGAAATGATATTTCACTGAATTTCTAGAATAAAATTTAATTAAACAAAACTTTCAGCTCTCTTGAAATGCGACATTTGCGTACAAAATAATTTCAGCTGTCTTGAAATGCGACATTTGCGTACAAACTAGTTTCAGCTGTATTGAAATGCGACATTTGCGTACAAACTAGTTTCAGCTGCCAATTATTTTTCACTGAACTGAACATTAGAACACCCTTCATTGAAACAAATGCTTCTATTCATAAAATATATAAAAATGCATCAACTTGTTAGAAGAGTGCCTGCCTTTGGTTTTACCAAGATAATTTAGGATTACTTTTCAGTAGCCCCAGATAATGTACACACTACAATAATGACCAGCTTGTATCTAGCATTGGTTAAATATATGAGTAATTGGAAAAATTCTAATTTTTATACGGTGGTACTAGTAGGCGACTAAATCAATATAAGAAAGACTACTTTCGATTTCAATTTGTTTGATTTATATCCTGTTAAAACATGGAAACACAGAGAAGAAATGTCACTTACAGGGAGTGTTTGCGAAAAATGAAAGGGGGTATAGGCTTAATCCGATAAAAAAGCGCTTTTGATCGCTACTAATCTTACTTCTATCTGCTGCGTCTATAAGGAGAAATATATATATATATACAAATTCGGAAAGATGCAACATTCAACTCGGATCGTAAACAAATCAATTAAATTCCAAACAAATCATTCAGATATAACCAACAGTAGTTATCGATTATTTTTCGATTTTGTGATTTGCACCTGTTGCGAATGATATATTCCTCTAAAATGTCCCGGGACCGCCGGTTCAAACTTGAATCGCCAATTTAAATCATTCCTAAACCTTTAACTTTGAATCGGTGGTTTAAATTTGAACCGGCGCGGCATTGTAGTTCAGCGACGCCCGTCAGGACATTTGGAGGAAAATGTACGCTAGATTCTGACGTGTGTATTTTGCTTAGTCAACTACACTGATCATTGTTATTAGTTGCAGTCAGGGAGTAAGGAATAGAAGGGAGATATAACTGACGCGGTTCGCCCTACCATATGATTATACATGCTTTGCAGACGAGTACTCCATTTGTATATGAAATGTTCAGAATAGGTTATTGTATACGCAGTAAATGTACATCAGACAAATACTTCTTATACAAATGGAGTACTCGTCTGCAAATCATGTATAATCATATGGTAGGGCGAACCGCGTCAGTTATATCTCCCTTCTATTCCTTACTCCCTGGTTGCAGTACGTGGAAAAGGGATATGAAAATAACCCAACATTTCGTTGGGGTGGGGGGGGGGGGTGTTATTCATGGTATATTTGGGTTATAAAAAGAATTGTAGCTTTTTCTTCACCTTACTTAATAAAATGGTAAATAAAGACAACTACTTTCCATAAATATATAGTTATTCAGTGCTCCCCAAAAATATGGTAAGCATAGACGATTGCTCATAAATATACAGTGCTCCCCAAAATAATATGGTAAATGATGATCACTTTTCACAATTATACAGTGCTTCTTAAAAAAAAGATTGCATATTAAAAAAATTCGTCTTCACTTCACCATTTTATACTGTATGTTACTGTAAATGTAAGGAATAAATAAGAAGAGAAAGAAAGGAAGAAAGAGAAAGTGAGAAAAGAAGATTTATTTTAGAGAGCACTGTATATTTATGAGCAGTCGTCTATGCTTACCATATTATTTTGGGGAGTACTGAATATTTGTGAAAAGTCGTCTATGCTTACCATATTATTTTGAGGAGCACTGTATAATTAAGAGAAGTTTTCAATGCTCATTTACCATTTTATCAAGTACAATAAAGGCGAAGAAAAAGTTACAATTCTTTTTATAACACAAATTTAGACCATGAAATGTTGGTTTATTTTCATATCCCTTTCCCACGTACTGCAACTAATAACAATGATCAGTGTAGTTGACTAAGCAAAATACACACGTCACAATCTAGCGTACATTTTCCAACAAATGTCCTGACGGGCAGCGACGTAGCTCAAATTCATTAAATTCCGTCCCTAGTATTTTTTAGAAATAGTTTTGTTAAAAATTAAAAACCTAGTAAAATTTTATAATTAAAAGTCTACTTCTGTACAGTATATATATATTTAAACCATATATTATCGGAAATATTAACGCTCCATTACCATGGTTGGGGTTCGCCACATAAACAGTATTAAATTAAGGTTGGTCGGTTTCACTTCAAATATATTTATATTTACGACACATTCTTCCTATAGACCCTGTTACTAAACAATATGGACGTACCTGCTTGCAAACAAAACATGCAACCAGGGTGTTTTAGAAAAAGTGATACAGGGTGATTTTTAAAACATAATAAGTAATAATGAGAAATATAATATTGAATTTTAGTCCAATAAGCAATTGTGCATTTAAAGGCCAGACCCAATTTCACTAAATTTTGATTTTAATGCTTCTGGTGAAAATTTTTGCTTCAAATACACATTTTAAGTCGTCTTTCTATTCTGCAGTTTTATGAGTTCCCACATACTGTAATTGATTAATTTCATGAATTTAAATGAACTTTATAGTGTTGCAATTCTCCTTGGCTTTTGATTTTACCTCTCTATATTTCTTTGTAGCTCTAGACATGTACATTTTAAAATTTAAAGCACTTGTTTAAGGCTTTTGTTTTTAGATGTGTGGTAAAATATTTCAACGATTTTTGCGTGATAGATTGCAAGCAGTGGCGGACATAAGGGGGGTTATTGGGGTTATTTACCCCCCCCTAGAATCCTGGGGGTAAATACCCCCCTCCCCTAGAATTCTAGGGGTAATTACCCCTGAACAGGCCCTGAATAGCTGCCTCTACAAGTAACAGTTCCAGTTGCCTTGACCCCTTCCCTTCAAAAAAAAAAAATACATTCCCTATTGATTAGTCTGCACTTGTGTAAAGACATCAAAATAATCCTCACCTATCCAGTCACATCAGCCGAGGCTGAAAGATCTTTTAGTAGCCATAGAAGGCAATATACATTGTTTCCGAACATTAATTAATTAATTTAATTAAAACTTCAAAATTAATTTAAAACAAAGTAAGAACTGTTTTGATTTTGATTTGATAAGCTTTGAAAACTGTTTAAAATTTAAACAAAAAATAGAAACGGAACTTATGTATATTGATAATTAGGTTGCTAACATGGCTGCGGAACACCATGAAAACGGAAAGGCTATCTAGCCTTGCACTCATGCACTCCCATCCTAGTAGATTAAAATTAATCAAACATGAAGACATTCTGAACAAGTTTTTAAGCGAATAGAAGGAGGGGGCGATTGGGTTTCTGTACACGTACTTTGCTGTGACGTTTTTGGACTGCTGAAGAACTAGTTTTTGCGTAACAACAATGAAAAAGGCAGTCGATCTAATGTAAACAAACATGGGTTAGTATACGGTAAATCTTCATCTAACGCCAGAGATGCACCAGATGTCTGTTTATCATTTGTGTTATTGTTTATAATCTTTATTATTAAGGTGTTACGCAAAAACTAGTTCTTCGGCAGTCCAAAAACGTCACAGCAAAGTGTACGGAAACCCAATCGCCCCCTCCTTCTATTTAATTCTCCTTGATAGATTGTATGTGTGATAAATGGATTTCTACTTGGTAATCTTTTAAGGGTGCAATTATGTCACAGAAATTGAGTTTTTGAAGCAATTTGATTTGCAACCCAGTTTTGTAGACTTTGATTCTTCAAACTTTGTATTCTGCTAAATTAAATAATCTGAGTTTGAAATATCACAGTTTTACACAGATCAGGTTACAAAAGTATAAGGATTTGAAAATTTGAGTTTGTGGCAAAAACTCAATTCTTTTGGTTGCTTGGCGCACATAAATGAGTCATCATTAAAATGTGTTATTGATATTTTAATGGTGAAATCAATTTTTTTTTATTTCAGAATGTAAAAACAGAAAATGATTTTACTATTTTATCTGGTGACAGGAATAAGACTGCTTAGTGCTTTAGAGGTATTTTTTTAAAGCAGTGACTAGATAACAATAGCATGCATGTTTTTTATTAGATTTTTATAATTATGAAATGAGTTTTGTAGTTTGTAACTGATTAAATTTCGAAACTTTTGCCTTGAACATTTTAAGATGCATAGAATTTATTATAAAAAGTTATAAAACCCTTGGCGAGATTTTATTATTGAAAGAAGAATCAGAGATGACAATCATGCTATTCAGTTTCATCTTTCGTAATTTTATCTTTATTCAATATCTCGCATTGTAATCAAACCCTGAAGGGATTACTGAATATGAAAAGATTAGACATTAGTCCATAAATTAAAAGCGATCAAGCAATCGAGATTATGAGAATCCAAGAAAAAAGTTCCCAGCTCCGGTATTTTTCTGTACGTACATTGTCCACTGAGCCTGAAACTTAAGAGAATATCGTTGAACGAAACTTTCCTATTTTGGGTCTAGACATTGGCGTAGATTATAGTTGGAGAAATTAGAAAACATAAAGAGAATATCAAGAAACCACACGAAACAATATTTTCTTAACACAACCCTTGATATCTACAAAACTACGTGACCCCAATCATGAAACCGGGTTTCCGATACTGAGTTTCAATACGATACACTGTCTTAAGTTTAGGGTTCTGTTTAGGTTGAGGATGATGGATATGCACTAAGCGTGGATTTACGACATGTGGAAAACCCGGTCAACTGTCAACAATACCTGGATAAGCTAGAGGTAAGCTAAACCTAAAAATCTTGATTTTCAAGACTTAAAAAAGTTTAAATGGCATGACATGGTATATCCAAGGGTCAAGGTTTGGCAACCTTCAAAGTCCAGTTTCAATATTTAAAAACCATTATTTTAATTTATAAGTTTGATACTATTAATATGTCCATTACAAGTGTCCTTTATCATTTATCATCGCCATCAGTTCGGAACAGAAACATATCAATGTTAATGACCCAATTCTAATCTAAACTAAGAAATACACCTCAGTTGATAGAGTAACTCTGTACTGATAACTGCAAGAGAGTAATCCTGAAACCCAGTGTTGATATAACAAGGTTGGATAGTCTCCGTTAATTTGGAATCAATATATAGCTTGTTGTATAGCTAGGCTTTTGTCCTTGTGTGGTATTTAGAGCCTGGGATTCAGTCCTGGTTGAATTTGATAGCGGACGGATTTAACCTGGAAAGATACTTTCCAGAACTTGTTTTGGAGTAGGCGTTTACTGCATAGATTCTTTTTGTAAAATATAATTAATATTATAAAAAGACCCCTTAATAAGTCGTGTTATGGGTTGTATTGGGTTAACAACTCACCTAATACTTTAACTTTCTAATCCATATATCTTTACAACATGTTGGTAGTTTGAAATATTTTTATACTCCGACATCAGGTTACAAAGATATCAGGATTAAAAAATTAAAGTTTGAGACAAGTGTTCAGTTCCTTTCCACATAAAACAATGAGTTTTTATAAAGGCCAAATACTTTAAGTAAATCCCCGCTCAGAGACGTCTTTAACTTAGATAAGCTTATTTATATTTCCTTGAAATCAAATAAGTAATAAATATTAATAAATTTGGATTCATTAATTTTTCAGGGCTTATTTGATTCTGCCTCTTTACAACTTCATTCCACAACAGCTGGAAGAAAGAGATTCAAGAAAATTCAGGCAACAAAATAATTCCAAATGAGTTAAAAACCATCATAATCAAAAGTAATACAAATACGAAAACTAATTACTGTAAAAAATTAAACATTAAGATATAAAAAAATGACGTGTGAACTGAAATAGAAATCCTGCATAAGCTAAAATTGTTTTTTTTTTGTTTTTTTACAATTGGACCAATAAACATGTGTAAAGGAAGACGACGGTTAATGTGCATGCGTTTAATGTTGTTATAAAGCAAAAGGTTTCACCAGTAACTTGAAACACAACTTAAAAACGGATATGGGCACAATTGATTTGTGTTATTGGACTTTTCAAATTCAAAAAATTACTCTGGCAATCGTCTTCCATAGTTTTATGGATTTCGCAGAACTATTTTACATATTTGAAACTTCAAATGTGATCCGAAACTATTGTTGTTCCGAACCTGCAGATGTTAGTACCGTCCACTTGGTCGATATCTTCTTGTCAGCCTGGCAGGCAGATTGTAGCTGGGCAGGTCAATCCAACAACTGACGTTGAGATCACCAAACCTTTACCTGGAATCGGAAACAGGTACAAAAAATAATATCTATATCTTGTACCTTCTCAACTTTCTATAAAGTACCTAACCACTGACTTTTGTTTGAAACCTAAGGAAAGCATGTCGTCTTCGATTTCATTATGAAGTTTCAAGTTTTGTAAATTGTATTACATTTACAAATCATAAGGTCCATGGAATCATTGCATAATACAAATAAAAAAATATACCTGCCTACATTCTTTTTACCTACTTACCTATATATACCAACATATTCCTACCTACCAACCTACCTACCGACCTACCTACCTACCTACCTACCTACCTACCAACCTTCCAACCTACCTATCTTCCTGCCACCTACCAACCAATATTTTTCTCGCAGGCCCTGGTCCTTAAATATAAACGGGTGTGGGGAGCAAGGATTAAAACTATTGATACCAGAATCTCTCATTTTTTCATCAATCTCTGACAACGAGAAAGGTATATTTTTTCTTGCCTCATTGTTCGCCGTTCAAAACATTATCAATATGGAATTTTGACAAGCTTCTATATATCTGAGTTAGTATGAAAAGGGTAGACAAATTGCAGACCACATTTTAAAAATTCCGAGATTTAATGTTTGAGAATCAATTGTTTTAATCGGGACACAACTGGAATTTCCGTTGTATTCAAGCAAGAATTACGCTTCAAATAAAGAGAAAATAAAAGTTATTACTTAAAGGGCATGGCGTTGTAATTATAAGTAACCATACATTAAAGAAATAGCATGTCTAATTCACAACTGTGCCCTTGAATCTTTATCTGATCAATAATATGAAAGATATTTACGTGTGAGGGTTCCGTAGTAAATCGGACATGCCTCTTTAAAAGACAAGGGTCACTTAAAATTGCGTTTAAAGTCCCTTTAATTCCTATAATTCTGGTAGGAAAAGGAAAACCTGCAGTCCCAAGATTTGGGGTTTCTTGCTTTTCATTATATAGTTCAATATTTGTGAACCAAAAATTCCTACAGAGACCCCTGGTTACCAAAAGTTTGTCCATGCATGGTTGGTAAATTGTGGAGGATCGGTATCATATTCAAGGATTCTTATCGACAATATAGTTGAAAACATGCTCACTAGGTGACTCTCAAACCAAATTATGATTCGATATCGATAGAGAACACAATTAATCTCAGACGGTAAAAAAAAAAGAAATTTAAATTCAATGATTTTTATTTATTTTCTGAGTAATATATTCTTATAGAAGATAAATCATTCCTTTAAGGAAAATCTCTATTAAATATGATTGATTATGTATGTTAGGGTTCATTCTCAATATTCATCTGGAATGTTTAATGGGAAACCGTCTGATGAGCATAGTAATATTTGGATTGGAGCCTTCTCCATCTTTAGATATTGATACAGAAATTAATTACTTAAAGTTAGAAAGAATTATATTGGACTATTAGGACTTTTGCATGCTATAATAGGAGAAGTTAAGAACAGGGTTAGGCCCATAACTCCACAAACAAGGGCGGAGGGACTAAAAAAAAGACTATTATGGATTATAGACGGACGAAAGATAGTCATGTACTTCCAGTAACTACTTAATGCTTAGGACTACACAGAACTACAATTAAGGGACTATATAGTGAAAAAGAAGGACTAGTGGATGAATTAAAAAAAAAACAATGTAGACTGTAAAAAAAAACTTTTTATACATAGTGAATATTACTAAGCCAGAGACTGACAAACGTTAAGAAATATACAAAAAGAAACTAGAAGAACAGAAACTTTTGGTGCTTCGTGCACACATTTAACAAAGAACCTGTAAAATCTTTCCCTGGGATGTTTAGAAAGATGAAAATTTCCCTGTATGATACTTGAAGGACTGCAGTATGGTTTTGGTGAATTATATTGACGTACTAAGCCTAGGGGTGTCAGAAATATTTTTTGCATTTTTTTTTAAAACGTCCCATAAACCTGAAAAAGTTTAATTTTGATAAAACTTTTTGTTCTGTGTGATTGCATATATTCATAGAAAACTTTCTTAAACCGACAAGTTTTTTCTAAATTCACTGTGTTAAGAGTTTAAGTCAAAATACTTATTTATAATTATTGCTTTATATCGAGTAGATATCCTTAAACATACACCAATGTGAAACCTTTCAGAAAGTAGGAAAGATTCTGCAAAAAAAGTTGCCACACCGAACAGAATTTTTCTTTTGAACAAAACTATTTAGAACTTACATAGAAGCTTATCTGGGTTGCATTCTACTCTTGTTTTGCATTATTTTAGTTCATGTAAAACAGCAAAAAATAGATTCTGTTGATGGTTTAAAACTAAACAGCTGATAATTCATTGGAGGGAGGGATGGCAAAAACACCAATTTGTAATTTCTAAATCTTTTTATGGAAAATGATTGCAACAGGGTATACAGAGTACTTCAGGGACAGGGTACTACAATGTACTGCAAAGTACTGGGCTGTACTGGGATAAATGGTGGGAGGGTAAGTGTCCGGGTT